ATCTCATTCGTGTTGCATTCAGCACGTTCAAATGCATCTTGTGCATTATGGTCATCAAATTATGTTTTCAATGTCGAACCTGAGAATCTTGAAATCTGGATTTTTTTTTTTTAATAATTGCAGCTTAAATATTGGTCTGTTCTTCACATAAGCGATCACATAATCTATTCTTTAAAAACTATTTTATATTTTAACTTTAATTTTATTTATGCATAAATATACTTTCTTGTTTGAATCACACAGATCATCTTCCGTAAAATAAGTGACGTCAAACGGGAGGAAGAGGAGATGCTGCGACGGAAGAACGAAGCGCCTCTGAATCTTCCTGCAGATCACCCGGTGCGGCGTCTCTTCCAGCGGTTCCGTCAGCAGAAGGAGGCCCGTCTGGCGGTGGAGCAAGTGAGTCAAGGAGAACCGGACGTGGAGCGAGGCAGAATGGAGACCGTGGTACACGAGAGCACTGCAACCACCAGCGTCGTCACAGTCACTGAAAGTCCAGCCACACACATTACCTCTGTGTCCTCCTCCTCAGCGTCTAGAATGTCATGTCAAGCCAAACTCTGCACTCCTGTGGCCCCTAATGGAACCTGTACAGGAAACAAGTCAGCAGAACCTCCCAAAAACAAAGGCTGGGGTCGGTTTAAAGATGCCACAGCCAAGTCCGATCTCTCCTGGTGTTCTGTGTCCAAAGCCGAGTCCATGGAGATGCTTCCAGACAGGACTAAGTGGAACTCGTGGGATAGCGGCATCACCAAGAGTGACGGGAGCGCTCAAACCCCTCAGGATCGGAGCCCCTTGCAGGCCGAGGGCAAGCGAGCCTTTTGCCCCATTCCAGAGCAGAGTCTCCAGGCCTGCTTTATGGAACTGAAGCAGGAGCTGCGAGGTGACATCCTCTCCCTCAGCAGCAGAATGAGCGCCCTTGAAGGCCAGCTCGCCGAGATGCTCCGGCTTCTCAAAGACAGAAAGACCTCAGGATCTTCAAAACTGTTTGACATGTCAAGACCAGATTCTCCAGATTCAGAAAAAGATGACAACATGTTCTCCTAATAGGGTTTCATATCTGATGCGATGGGCTGAGGGGAACATGGTTTGGTCCTGATGAGGCGCTCATACACTCCTAAAAAAATAAAGGTTCTTTACTGGGATCAGTGTTACCATGAAAAACCTTCAAAGGAATAGTTCACCCAAAAATGAAAACTTTAATCTCAGGCCGTCCAAGTTGTAGATGAGTTTGTTTCTTCATTGGATGAGATTTGGAGAAGTTTAGCATTACATCAGTTGCTCACTACTGCTGAATTTCTCCAAATCTTTTTAACATCCATGGAAGCTTTCCATTGCACATAAGGATCTATATAGTGGAAAAAACATTCTTTAGATCATTAAAATGTTCTTCACACCAAGAAAAAATTGTTCTTTTAAGAACTGTTCACTTGGGGAACCAAAAATCCATTTTGGAACCATCATTTTGTTTTGAGTGATATGGTGCAACGGCGCTTATTTTTTCAAATTCTGTTGCCTTCAGTGGAACAAGAATTACACACTTTAATAATCAACACATAATATACGGATATATAGAATTTACATATTATGGAATATGTCACTATAATGAATATCAATTGTCCTTTTTTTTTGTACAATGGTTGACATTTTTGCATGGTCATTTAAGTCTCCTTCTGTTTTTACTGTTAAATCATATGTCTGATAATTTGTCAGTCAAGCAAAATGTGACAATTTATGAATAATTCCTCTGCTCTTGTTTTATAGATAGGCCAATTTTGCTACCAGGCACATGCACATACTGTTAAAGCCACATTTCAAAAGTCTTCAACCTGGAAAATCATCAACCTGGTTATTGTTTGTCTGGGACTGACAAAATGTACTATATGATGAATATAAGTTTTTTCACATAGCATCATACTATAAAATACTGTAGCCTGTTTATGTAACTAAATGCTGTGCTCTCAATAATGTGACAATATGCAATATATCAATAGTGACAAATGCATAAGAACCTAAATTCCCCTGTCCGTGAATCCTTGGTGGATGTTAAATACATTGTGCTTGGTTTTGTTTTTTTTGACAGCTTCATAACTCTGGCTCTTTTTTAGATCAGATTTTAGATCAACTTTAAAAAACACTTACAGGAAATAGTTAAGGGAAAGTGTTATGCTAAATTTGGGAATATCAAAAAGTGTATTGTGCACTGTATGTACCATTTTTATCAGATGTACAAAGTTAACAAATTAGGTGGTGGATAAGCAATAATGAAAACTGTTTAAGTGTATAAATGAGACATATGCCATTGTCTGGAGTAATATGAGAACAAAGGAAGCATTAAATAAGGAGCAGCAGTGTTATTTAGCATTCTTGCCAAAAATCTAGTATCTTTTATAAAGTGTTAAGTCCAGTTTGTTTTGTAAATGTCATTTCCAAGAAACTGAAGGAGAAAGGTATATCATAGCGTTTCCAACCCGAAGTGTTAAACGCTTGTTTTGAAAATTTTGCACTGCACAACTTTAATGTTTGAGTCAATGTATATCCTGTATGCAGAATGAATCAGTGTGTACACTGTGAAACTGACTTGATGGGACTTACTGATTGTACTTTTATTTTTACTCTGAGTTTAGTCTGAAGATAATCGGAAAAATGGAACTGCAAAATATTTTAATGCTGATAGCAGTTGTCTTACCTTTACATTAGCTATTAACAATTACTGTACTTTTTTTTTTCAAGATCCAAGTTTAGCTAAATTAGTGGAGATACTTGATTATTAAAGTATGATGGTTCTAAATGGAATATCTAGTACGGCCACTTTGGGAATGAAAATACACACACACACACACACACACACACATACACACACACACACACATACACACACACACACACACACACACACAAAGTTCTTCATGTAAAATCATTCATATCAGGTCATGAGCCTTAACACGAAGGTAAGGTCTCATTTTTCTTATCTTAAAAGGAATATAAATTACAGTATTTGTACTTATTTTTATTTACTTTTTTTATTATGTCCAGTTGATCTATATAAATGAATAACATGAAAGCACAAGAAATACAACTGTCGATTAAAATGTGTCAAATGTTTATATGAAGTCATTTATACTTTGCATTACATATTATTCATATTCATATCTTTAAATTCTCAACTTGCTAAAATCAATTTTAGTGAAGTATTTTTGTGATACACAGTGTTGCTGAAACAATGTTTTTGAAATAAGTATCTTCTGCACACCAATTGCTGCATTTATGTGATTAAAAATACAGTCAAAAACAGTTATTATACTTTAAAATAACTGTTTCTGTTTGAATGTCTGTTGAAGTGTAATTTATTGCTGTGATCAAAGCTGAATTTTCAGCATCATTCCTCCAGTCTTTAGTGTCACATGATCTTCAGAAATCATTTTAATATGCTGATTTGCTGCTCAAGAAACATTTCTGATTATTACAGTTTTTATCGATTGCTTAGACACATTTCTTGAAATTGTGACTCCTTTTCTCGAAACTCTAAACACAAATCCATAACTTCTCACCCAATTCCCCATGCTTCCTATTTTCAGGTCAAAATGAAGCTCTCTACTCAAAACTATTCAATCTTGCTGAAAAAACAAACAAACGTCGCCCTCAGACATGACACACAAGCCCTCAGAAACACACACACAACAACATAGTCTTACACACTAATGAGATCAATTCATAACACTGTTGCAAATACCTTCTTTTGGCAATCGGGTATCATTTTACAGCTCAATGTCTATTACAGTATACAACATAATTAGAGCAGATACATGTTACAGTAAATATAGCAGATACAGTGAAATTCAACAACAAACTTTACAGTAAGAAAATATAATTTTCATTACACTGCTGTAAAGAGATCTTACAGTACAGTAGATGAAAAGCACTACTGTAGAAAGGAAAAGGTCAAATACCAAAGGATTGCATATGAACACAACAAAATATAGTCATCTCTTAGTTCTGCAAAAATACAGTACATGTAAGAAGTACTGTACTTGGCTACAAATCAGTTCAGCAGTTATGAGTTTGAGGGTGTACAACTTGTTCTTCAGTATTTAATGTACATATATATATAAAAAGTCAAAGTTCTCTCATCTGAAGTACTGCTACTGTTCTGTCATTATATTTGATCTGAAAGTAGTATTGAAAGCCTGTAGATGAGCCTGTAGGCCAGCTGTCCTCATGCACAAGAACATTATCAACTATTGTGCTGTGTATTTCATCAGTAATAAATGTCCTTTGACCCCGTCCCCTTCAGTTTTCTTTTCCCCTCCTCTTCCTCTTTGTCTCCCACTAGTAGGACTCATTTTCCTATGTTCCTGTGCTCCTTGTTATACACTGTAAAAAGTAATGAGTTGAACTTACTTGGAAAACCTGTGGAAACTGATTGCCTCAAATTTCTCAAGCAAATTAGTTTATAATTTTTGAGTTAATAAAACTTACTGTAACTTTGTATAGGTAACTTGTGTATATGTATAGGTTACCAGAAAACTTGAGTGCTGGTAACTCAATTTGACAAGTTCAGCCAATTTAGAGATTTAAGTTAAGCTTAGTGCACAGAACTCAAACAAAACAGTTCTCTTAACAAGTCTGCTTTGTTCACATTACTAGACAAATGTGTGGAAACTGATTGCCTTAAATTTCTCAAGTAAGCTGTACTCAAAACTTAAAATTGTTAATACAAAGACAGAAAACAGATTGTTAGCACAACAATAGGGCATTTATTTGTTTAATAAAACAATGATACTTCAAGTCATTACTTTTTAGGCATGCTATCAAATCAACAATTTAACACTGTAAGAAAAATTGCACAGACTGCACTCAGGAAATAAATAGAAAAAAACATCAACATCCCTTTTATGACAACTTGTAAATCTAGATTTACCATTTTCTAGAATTACCTTTTTCTAAATAAATAATGGTCAATCATGAACTATTACACTGAAAAATACTCCATCACACCACAATGACATCTTTCTACATCAGAAGATTTTTCAGAGATTGCATTCTAGGTTCAGCCATTGAATGAAATCAAAGGTGTCCTTCAGTACTGGAGGATACTATAATGTCATAGCATAAATGAGTCCAAAGAGCAGGCATATCTTGGGGGGGATTTTCCAGATCATCCAATACAATTGTACCTTCCAAAATTATTGCAGTAGATTGCAGTAATGCAGTGAGTTAGGTATGGCTCTAGAGTCCTCAGATCAGGGATCACAGTCAACAGGCCGACTGACATCTCTTCTTCATCATAGTCCTAGTCCACTAGGAGTACAATATGACAAAAATAAGTAATTACATTTTAAGAGTACATATTCAGGTTAAACATTTGCAAACAAATTAATATCTGTGTATTATGTTTAGATATAAATGCCTTTTCAAACTGGGCACAGCAGTGGATCCCAGAGATAAAAAAAAGACATTCAATCTGTTATACAAAAAGACAAAACAAACTGAACAGTATGCCAGCTATACAATAATCTATTCTGAAACTGCTGCTTTGACATTTGAAAATTTTTGTTAAATACTGACATATATATTCTCTTTTGTGTGATTTCTAAAATCTGACCAGAAAACAATGATCAAGAGAGCACCCTCATAGGCCATGTCTTAAACGAGTGGTTTTCACATGATCTCTATCACTCATATATTAGACTCTTTGTTTTTGTTCTCTTGCTTATCTGATTTCTTTATTTCTTTCAAACACAATGTCGTTCCAAACCTTTAAGACCTTAGTTCATTCTCGGAACACAAATGAAGATATTTTTGATGAAATCTGAGAACAAATTAAATCATTTCATCAGAAACATCTTAATTTGTGTTCCGAGAATGAACTAAGGTCTTAAAGGTTTGGAACGACATGAGGGTGAGTAATTAATGATAGAATTAAATTTTTTGAGTGAACTAACCCTTTAAGTTTTTTCTCTCTTCTTTCCAACTCTGTTCTTTTATTATACATTCCCTTTCCCTTTTTCCTTAGAAGTTTTTTTTTCACTTTCTTTATTTCTTTCTATCTTATATTGTTTCTGTGTCCTGATTTTTTTCTTGCCAGGTTTCAAGAATTGTCTGCATTACACTAAATAACCAGAATATAACAGACAAAATTACTTACAAAACATGTCTTGTAAAATCAGTAAGGTCCTTTTCGAGGAAGAGTGGAAGGCTATGGAGAACTGCTGTTCATCGCCCATTGATGTCAGATGTCTGTACATTTATAAAAAAAACTCATATTTAATATCACTCAAAGCACAAGCACTCAGCATAAAATATAATTAATATCTACTTATTCTGTGCAGGGTTTCACAAAACTGCAAAATATGATTTTTTATTAAGCGCACCTATGTGAATAAGCATATACTATGTGGACACATGGAATTGGAGAATTTTCATATTCCATAGCTTCCATATTTTAATCAGTTTTTCAGCAGTTGAGCTCCCTTTTCACTCAATAAACAAGTAGAACTTCCACTGCATGAGTTTAAGTCCCCAAAAAAGAGCACATAGAATATGAAAAGAAAATGGTAATAATTAGTGCTGGGCATTGACGCACATTTAAAAACTATTTTAAATGAAGTTTCTACTCCAAAGAAATTTCTGAAATATAAAAATTTAAACGGTGGTTGTGATAAAAACTTGTTTTCATGACGTGTGTTCAAGCATTAAATACAGAAAAATGGATTAGGCCTACATAAGACATGATACATTTCATTAAGTTGTACTGTATCGCTCAACATACTTTATGATGCTTACTCACATTTATTTCATGTTATAACTAGCAGTAAAGAGGAAGATCGATGTTTGTAATCTAGCTTGCAAGCCACTGGCTAGCTAGTACACTAACTGACGGTTACAGTAATGCTCGTCAGTAAAAACTAATAAAATCGGCCTTTTCTTTTCCTCAAAACCGATAGCACACACCGTGACAATATAGTTTATAAGTAGACCACCAAAAACGTACCTAATCTTGCGGCCACATTTCAAACACGATCTGACTCTGAAGTTCAGTTCGTTGTCTTCTTCTGGTGATGTTTTGTTTAAACCAACCTTCCGCCACCTACTGATGCACTTCCGCAACCTACTGGTCTAGAGTTATTAGGGCACATAGTGGGATTGGGGAAATTTATATATACATATATTTTATTTTTTTTTTTTACATCGTCTCCAATCACCTGTACATGTTCACATTGCACATATGCAGGGACTCGCAACACATTGAATAAATTAAAATAGGGGTAGCAGAACACATTCATGTTTTTGTCACATGCTGCGATTACCAAAATCCAGTAAATATATGAAGTTATTAATATAAATATGATGATTGTGAAACGCTCTACTGGATTATGAGGCAGCAACAGCATGTGGGCAAGCCAAAAAGCTGAAATCTTACTGTTATTTGACAGCTTGAAGAAAAAAAGATCCCTATCTGTAAAAAAAAATAAATAAATACCTTAACCATTTCAAATTGTATTCACTCTAAAACGGTATTCATTGTTCTTTGCACCGGACAATGGAAACAGACCTTTAATCCAACAAACTAGATGCTCTTAAGTACTGTTTACTAAAGTTGTTTAGTTTAACTATTGCATCCATCTGAAAGTTCACATGACACAGTGTAATTAAGTAAATTCAACAAATTTGTAAAAATCAGTTATGTTTACTCACTTTTCTTAAGTAGATTCAGTGATTACTTTTTACAGTGTATCATCCTGAGATTCTGACTGCTGTGTCATCAGTTTTGCTACTTACAGTTTTTTTCAGGTGCTAACATCCTTTTGTCCAATCTCTAGTCACATTTTCAAAACTCTAAAGACAATTAGCACAACATCCGTCTGTTGTGACCATATCATTAACACAATTCATGTTGTTTTCACACAATATGCAGTCAATTACCATGTTTCTAAAATGCTTCCATTTTCTTTTCATTAAAGCTTACCCAAAACCAAAATCATGGAAGTTTTTAGTCTTATTTTACAAATGCTTAAACACAGCATGTCAGAAATGAAGACCTAATGTTCCAAACCTTAAATATAGTATAAAGCTTCTTTTACTTTTTATTCTGTGACGGAAACAAGCTTGCATAGTAACCAAAGGTCATGCAAGTTGGAATTTTTGTTGATCACTGGCATCAGCCACCATCTACATTCAACCCCCACCCACTGGAGAGCAGTTCCAATCAAGGTTCCAATTGAATTTCTGCATAGGGGATCCTATTTTGTTTTCCTTTTGTACATTCTATAAAGTAATGACTCATTCAACACTTACAAATGTAAAATGGGTTTCAGTTGAAGGTAAACTGAAGGCTAAATTACAAAAAACAATGGATTTTTATATTGTCTATTATATGCAGGTAGAACTGTAACATGACAAGTAATGCAGTTTTTGTAAAGCCATCAGCTGTTAGTATTCTGTGCTTTGGTTGACTATATGTTTCTGTTGGATAGAAACTAGTGCTAATGTTTTGACCGAATGACTCGATTTTGAATCAGGTTTGCTGTGTTTTGATAGAGTTAGTATATGTAGAAAAATTTATTCAGCATTTTGAAATGTAGAGTTTGTATTTATTTAACAAAATGCGGTTTTGGACACAAAATTAACTATTTGGCTAATTGTGTGATGTAGGTGTGTTGCTGTGTTAAGAGTTTAGAAAAAGTACTTGAAGTACTGGTAAACACTTGTTAGCAATTGAAAAAAGACTGTAATGTTCACACATGGATAAATGTGTGCTATTTGTGTTATATTGTGAGTTTAACATGGTTAAACCTGTGCAAAATGATGCCGTTCTTGTGTAGAGTTTAGCTGAAAACACTGAGCAAATTGGAGCGTGTGTGAAAACAGCTGAAATGTGTTAAAAGTTTTAAGAAACGTGTCTTTGTTTCAGGAACTGTATGAATGGTTTGGAAAATTGTGCCAAACGAATGAGTTATAGTGCGTTAGCAATTGAGAAAAACTGTCATGTTGAATACAGTTGTGCTGCTTCACATTTTTGTGGAAACCATGATGATTTTTTTCTTTCTTTCAGCACTCTTTGATGAAGAGGAAGTTAAAAAGAACAGCACTGAAATGTCTTTGCTGTCACTTTTGATCAATTTGATACATCCTTGCTGAATAAAAGTGTTTATATCTTTAAAAACATCTTACTGACCCCAAACCTTTGAATGGTAGTGTGTATTTTCTGAAACATACACCAGAATCATCAAGCACAGCACAAGCAGCAGTAGCTCATCTTAGCCTGTTGAATCCTGCCGCTGCTCTTCACGGGACTCCTTCAGACAGTCGCAATTAAAAACGTCTACTTTCTCTGATGGGTCTCTGATAATCTGATTAGGGCCACAGAGCCCGTCTGATCCTCAGAGCATTCTGGGACAGATATTTAATTAAAGTGCGAGTTGATGTCTTATGCTAATCACCTGCGTAATGCTCTCTCCACAACTAAAGCTGAGTTGCAGGCCCTTTAATTAAATTCCTTGACAGGTAAATTAAATGTGCAATTAATATTTATTACACAAAGGGCCATTTAATGTCAGAATTTTAGACATGCAAATTTCAGATTATGCTAATGCTAGCTTTAACCTGTAGAGTACACATTTCCAGTTCAGTCAGGTATCATATCGCGCAGGCTGTTGCAGTAGACACACAATCTACTAGCAATCACGGTATTTACAACACGGCGCAAGCTGATTGGCCTCTGCTGATTCTGCAGCCAATAAGCTTGATCGCTCAACATTTATATAGTCTGGCTCAAGTGTTCACTGTAAGCTGGTCCTGCAGTCTGCTATCAGAGTTCCTCTGAAACCCTCCACCTCCCCAGCTCCACCTGTCTAGATCTGATATATGGGATTTATCTATGCCTATTCATGCAGCAGCAGCATATCTTACATGCTCACATGCTCTTTGTATTGCTGATAACATCTGATGTTGCTGCTTGTTTTAAAGCAGCAACATCAGATCAGATCTGCCAAGGCCAAATACGCTAGCATTATCATATCCATGAACATGATAAAACTATTCTCAGAGTTATCAAGATTGCAATATATTCAAGCTTTTATCTGCATATGAGAGTACTAAAATTATGATAGCTATAAAATTAAAAAAAAAATTAAATTGTCTTTGGTAACCAGTCAAAAATTGGGATTAATTAAGAATTAATTAATAAATGTTTTTTGTTTGTTTGTTTTGGAAAGAAGTCTTTTATTCTCACCAAAGCTGCAACAGTAATATTGTGAAATATTGTAACAATAAAAAAAAAAAACTCTTTGCTTTTTTAATATATTTAAAGTTATGTAATTTATTACTGTGATCAAAGCTGAATTTTCAAGAGTCATTACTCCAGTATTCAGTGTCACGTGATCCTTGAGAACAGATTATGCTGCTTAAAGTTTTTTTTTCAATTGCTAACAAGCATTGTTCAATACTGAAGCCACATTTTCAAAACTGTTCACTCATTCAGCGAAACAGAAGTCAGAAGTCAACCAAAGCACAGAATACTAACAGCTGATGGCTTTACAAAAACTGCTAAACAAACTGTGAATCATTTTTCATTGCTTTCAGACAAAATGCGTTCAATGTGCACATTTCTCAAAATCCACGAACACTTTTGTCATTCATACTCCACAACCTGCAAAACACTTTATATTTTCAGCACATTTTTCAAATGCTAACATGCTGCTTTCAAAACTGATAAAGCACATTCAAATCAGAATGATGGCTAACTGTCCATTTCTACAGGAATTATATTGAAATATAAAATCTTAGAAGAAAATTTGCTTTGAAAATTGAATAATTATTCCAAACACAACTAACTGCAATTTCAGCTGAAAGCCAAGCCAAATGTCCTATTTTTAGTCACCTTTTTTTTCTCTCTCTGTGATCTTTTGATAAACAAATGGGATGGATGGCTTCAGAATGATTTTCTTTGGAAACATGGATCAAGAGTGGCACAAGTAATTAAGACTTCAAAGATACAAGTTAATAGTTTATGTAATGATCCCCATTGTTAGTGTTTTTTAGATCAGTGTGTGATGAATGAAATGTCTGTTTTCTGAATGAGAATTGTTGGCAGTGTTATGGTGAAACAAGCTTATTTTGAGACATATGAAGTGTTTTATTGGTCTGAGTGAGTTTTGGAGGTGATATCAACTGTTTGGCCAAGATACATGTTGGTAATGCAGACTGTATATGAACAGTTTTGAAAATGTGGCTTCAGTATTGAACAATGTTTGTTAGCAATTGAAAAAACCTGTAATATGTTTGTGGAAATCATGATGCATTTTCCCTGGAATCTTTTATGAATATAAAGTCGAAAAGAACAGCATTTATTTGAAACGGAGATCTTTTGTAACATTATTAATGTCTTTATAGTCACTTTTGATCAATTTAATGTGTCCTTGCTGAAGAAACGTATTAATTTCTTTCCTTTACCCCCTCAAAAATATGAAGCAGCACAACTGTTTTCAACCTTGATAATAATCAGAAATGTTTCTCGAGCAGCAAATCAGCATATTAGAATGATTTCTGAAGATCATGTGACACTGAAGACTGGAGTCATGATGCTGAAAATGCAGCTTTGATCACAGCAATAAATTACATTTGAACACATATTCACATAGAAAACAGCCATTTTAAATTGTAATGATCTTGGTGAGCATACGAGTCTATATAGGCAATATATATATATATATATATATATATATATACATATATTGTGGAGTATTATCATGTGCCATTTTTGCTTTGTCACAGTTACCTTCGGCTGCTTTGGGAGCTGTTTCTAAGCGTAATATTTTCATGCATGATATTGTGTAAAGCTGTTTTGAAATGTATTGTGAAACAAAAGTAATTGTGAAATTACTCATTACATGGACTGAGTCCATGGAAGCTCTTTGAACTGTATGGAAGGAGGTTTAGCACAGTAATGGGAAGATTGCTGGTGACAAATTTGTGGTATCTAGCTTTATCTGTCTAATGCCACCAACAGGTCAAAGTTATACTTACACTCTAAAAAATGTTGGGTTGTTTCAACTCAACTTTGTGTCAAATATGGACTAACCCAGCCAGTGGGTAAAATTTTTACATTAC